AACTGCTTCTACAAGGCCATTAAAATACAAACGCTGGACGTACAGTGATCAGCTGCGGGCCATATCACCTGGCATGCAGGCCCTGGGTCACTGCCCCCCCCCTCTAAAACTCCACACGTACAAACACATCACACATCCATTATCTGACCCTGTAAATAAACTCCAACAGGCAGCTGCCTTTAGCATGGACTGCCCATGAAAGGTCATTTGTCACTAATACACACATTTTTGTCTTTTGCTATGTACATAGTCCTTCTGTCTCCAACACAGACTTTTATTCCACTATACCTCTCGCCCCAATTACTCTCGATGCTTTCTGCCTTTAAAAGAAGTTGAGCGGGTTTCATACCTGCATTTCATGGAGCAGAGAAAGGACTGACTAAAGCTTATGTTTGGCAGTGCTTTAGTGGGCCTACCTTGTGACCTGATGTATGGATGCTGAAACAAAGAGGTCTTTGTGGGGGAAACCTCAGAGACAGAGTTCAGGCTCAGGTAGAGGCTTATGCTGTCTAAATCATTGCCGGGGCGTTTGTTTAAAATCGGTCTGCGCGGTATGTAAAATGAAATGACGTGTTTTAAAGTCGAGCGTAAATTCATCGTGATTTTATTGATAATTAGTCATGCCGCGTAATGTGTTTTGGCAGAAAGTGCTCAGCCCCCAGTTTTAGTAAAGCTTTTTCTCACCAAAATGTGGCAGATCAAATTAGCCTTGATCTGTTTGTTAGGTAGAAATGTTAAACAGCAAGATGTTTTTGAAGGTGGGGGGGGGGGGGGGCTGTCTGACCCCCTGCAACCTCAGACTTCTCAAAAAAATGAGAAGGGCATGAATAAAATCAGGACGGCAAGTTTGCACATTATTTGAAGGGTAGCGTTTGTATTTTACTGTATTTTTCACTAGATTTGCAGTTCATAGTTTCTTCTTTTTTTTTTTCATACTGGTGCTCTGTGCAGAGATTTAATTCCAGCTCTGTGTGAGGCTTGGCTGCATGACTCGCTGTGTGTGTGCACAGGCAGACACTAATAACACTCCCTCTCCTCCATTCCAGGCTTTTTGTTCCTGAGTGCCTTGCTCTCATTAAGCTGCCGAAGTAAGCTGCTTGGCACCTGCTTTAAATGCGACCACCACCCGCTCATTAACACTAACGAAAGCGTGGCCGGCAGCCACAAATCCACGCCCAGGCTCGTCAAGTGTCCCCCTTGCTGAAATTAGCTACGTTTCACAAACAATTTCACCAACTCGCTACATAGTTAGGTGTTTATTGGAAGATGGCTGACTCTGACTTAGAGGTGGTGTGTGTAGTAATAAGCACACACCAGGTTAAGATGAGCCAACCCACATAATAAACCATAATTTGCCTACAAATTCAAACTGAACTTAAAGTCACTTCCTCAGGCGTTATTACACACAAAGGGATTGCAAAGGAGTATACAGGGCATCATATACTGTATATTTATTATTGCTCAATTGAGTGTCTGGATAGTGCTTGGAACTTTCTCTTCTCATACTGTGGCCATACGGCTCAGTCTTAGCGCCCTGACCGTTCCCTTCCCCCTCAGTGTTATTGTTTGTATTCCCAGTCTCAAGCTCCTGAAGCTCCCTGTAGTATTAACTTGTATTAATTCTGAGTAGGATTCAAAGTCCATTTATTTTCTTTACCGTATGGAAAGGCCTTGGTGACATGGCTCCCCTGTGTTTATAATTTTGCTTGTTTCAATTTGCTCTCTGCCTCCCCTGACAGACCTGGGACATGATGTATCGTACGCCGCTGCCTTATCTGTTGATGTACAGTTTTAACCTTTCCAGAAGGTTGCCTCTCTCCCCTCTGTGCAGACCAGTCTCCATTTTCTCCCCTTTTTCAGCCTCACCTCCCCATCCAGAGCACAGGAAAATACATACAGAATGGCGGCTGAATAAAAAGAAGAGTATAACCCCCTTTTCCAAAGTCATCTAATGTAAATGTTTAGGTTTTGTTTCCATAACATTTCCATATTAAGAGTTGGCGACCATGTGCAGCAGTGGGGCCATGGAAACGATGAGAGTTTGGGGTCTTGAGCTTTGCGCAGTGCTGAGAGGCTGAGCTATGCGTGTGACATTGTGGTGAACTTTCAGTGTGCATCTGTGGGCTTTCTGCAGGGCTGTTAGCTTTGGCCTGTTGGCTCATAGATACAGCACCGTAAATCACACACTGTAAAATGTAGAATCCCAGGCCGGGGTGCAGAAGCATGTTCTGCGAGGGCCTCTTTGAGGGAAGATTGTGTGCGTGTATAGTCACATTTTTTTTTGTGTCGGCCTCCATGCAAGTACTGTATGTAGAACATGCACTGCCCCAAGGCTCAGTCAACAATACACATGCATATTTGGCAATGTCACGACAACTGATTCTTGCACTCTCATTTATAATTCATGTGGTTAGAATACCTTGTCGAAGTTGTAAGAGTCAAACATCTAGGTATTTATAAGAAGCTGGTACATTAAAACCGTATGAGAGACTATAGATTTGCGTAATTTATAATTAAAATAACACCATAGGGCAGGGGTGTCAAACTCATTTTCACTCTGGGCCACCTCAGCATCATAGTTTCCCTCAAAGGGCCGGTTGTAACTCTAAGACTGTATAAATGTAACGACTCCCTAACATATTGTTTTAACTAACTCTCTGCATTTGATTATTGTTTATTCAAGTGTAAAAATATTGTACATGCAGTTATATAAATGTAAAATTATATTTAAGCACATTTCTGTTATTATAAATAAATGATAAATAATTTTAATTTAGGGTTAAGAAACCCACATTACTCTATTAAAGATCAAACTTTTAAAGAAAATAACAAAGACAAATATCATCAAACACAAGTTATTACATTAACTTTGTTCAAAGCTATTTTTGTCACCTCTCTGCATCACTAATGCCCCTGTCGTCGTCGTCGTCGTCGTCGTCGTCGTCGTCGTCCTGTGCATGGCAGCTACATCCAAGAGCTCCTCACTGAGAGTCAGGTCTTATAAACATGGATAGATGCGCTGTATATATCCGTGTTGTCTGTGCTTTCATCAACAGCTAATGAAGAAGACGAGTACCTGCTCGTCTCTTAGCCAGCTGTGTTGTTAGATTGCTGCTAGTTCCTGAACTCGGTCTGCGATTTTGTTTCTTCACAAACTGACATTTGTAAAAGTCTGTATCTGATCGGAGCACACCTGCTCACATACCTTTAGCATGCACTGGGCTGTAGCTTGTGTAAATCTATTCTGCTGTGATTGCACTCTGCCTTTTAATTCTTGGGCAATTTTATGTTTTTCTTGGAGGCAAAATTTTGCTCCGTGTTTGGTGTCAAAATGCCGACGTGAATTGCATCCTTCATCACCGACACGCATCATAACACAGAAGACAGACCCGTTTTTCTCCTTCAAGCACAAACATGTGTTCGCTTTCCCATCTTTCATTACATTTTCTTCCCTCTGCATCAATTGTTCTCTTCGTGGACATTTTGGGATTATTTGTCGATCTTTTTCAACTCAATCACTTGTTGGAAAACCTCTTTACGGGCTGTTGCCTCTCCTGTCCACCTGTTGTGATAGTTTTAATGTCGGTACACAGACAACATGCTGTTTCATAATTTCAACTTTCTATCTCATAATTTCGACCATGGGGATACTTTTATTTTCAAGTCTAACTATTTTTTTTCCAAAATAAAAAATAAAATAAATTTATTTTTAATTTTTTTTTTTTAATTTTTTTTTTTTTTGCTGGTGGATTCGCGGGCCGCATAAAATGACGTGGTGGGCCTTGAGTTTGACACGTGTGCCATAGGGTGTTTAAGCCAGTATTTTAATACGAAATGATGGATCACAGGTTCAAGGTTTTATGCACTTTACCTTGAAGCTGAACTTCTGTTGCTCTCCGTGGCCCTTTGGCTAGCTTCCTGTCTAGGTCTCCCGAGGCCCTACAACATTGTTAACTGTCTGAGGATAGAGTGTCTGGGACCAGAGCACTGTCAGCCGCCTTGAATCTGGAAGCTGAGGTGCTCTCCGTTCAGAGTTCAACTGTGACATGTCTTTATGCACGGCAGCTAATGTTCAAAGAATATGTATGATCTATATGAGGCAGAGAGGGGCACCGGTGGCTCTTTGGGGCATAATAAATAGCTTGAAAGATGATTTATTGACTTTGTGAGAGGGAGAAGTAGTGAAATAACGTTGCACATTCTCGGTGAAGAACTCCTCCATTTTAATTGTTTCTACACCTTTCAGCAGACCTTCAGGTGTACAGTAGCTACAGTGTCTATAAGAGGCAATAGCAGCAACATGATGAGAGGGAGAGAACAAAGGATAGTAGAAAGAAAAGCAAAACCTTGTATTTAAATAGTCTGAACTTGTCTTCTCAGTTGCTTGGCAAGTCATTATTTATAGCTTTTAGGAACTGCAGTACTTGCCAACTGAGGCAAAGTTGCTCTGGCTTTCAAAGTGAATGTGAATGAAACAGCTGGACGCTGTTGGATTGGCTAACATTAGTCGCCAGATGCAGACTGTTTAAATCTCAGACTTTGTGTTGAACTCTGTGTGCTCTGCTATGTCCCAGAGGCTTCCGACGACAAGATCCGGAGGCCTTGGTGTAGAGCTTTGTTATTTCTTAGATTATTGTTATTTCACTGCCATTGTAATATGATCAAGTGTGTATCACCCTGTCAGAAAGATCTTAATCTTCCTGGCGGCTTTTTCATTTGATTCAACACAAGTTTCCTGGATAGTGATCAAAGGAAAAAAAAACCTAAGTGACCTTATCTCTCATAGAGCAATCTTGCATGTGTCCCATCTTTCTATCTCTTCACTTACTCATTCGTGCTTTTTTGTTTTGCCTTCCAAATCAAACATGCCTCAAGCATTGCGCAGATATGAATTTAAAAGAAACTGTAACTCATTCATAGCTACGTCAGAACTCTCCGACCTGACAGCAAATGATGTACTAACACAAAATGTGCTTTGTTTCTTTTGTTTTGCACTGCAGGTTTGGTCCTGGCCTTGTGATCTACTGGTATGGCTTCATAGGAGAGCTGGACTGCCAAAGAGACAGAGGTATCCTGCTCAAAGACTGCTTCCCTACAGACATTGTCCTGTGCCATGCCGCCCAGCAGGACGGACCGTCACACGAGCCAGAATAAAAGACAAAGAGTGACAAAAGCAAAAAACTTGGGATGGAAGGAAAGAGAGAGGGAAATAAGGAGGTGGGAAGGGTAGGAACAGGGGTGTATACCTAGATCCGGAAGCAATTTGGCTTTCCTGCAGAGTGAGAGACGACTGGCAAAAAATCTGCCCTGAACTCCACCCGACCCTCTGTCTCTGTCTGTCTCTCCCTTCCTCTCTTTAACTGCCCCTAAAGCTACCACATGTAAACACACCCCACCTTTCTGTATATCTGACAGCACAGGGTCAGATTCATACCTGTGTGCAAAAACACTGTCTTGGAGGCTTTCCTGGTTGTGGTCAGCTCCTGGCCCCTGGATGGCCTCTTGCAACGGACAACCAGGGTGAGAGCCAGGACCAAAGCAGGACATTAGGCCCTTCCTTATCACACCCCAAGCCCTGGCCTTTGTCACTCCTTCCTCCTCCACTCCACAAGCAGATAAGAGAGGGGCGGTCCGGGGGCTGGGTGGAAGCCTGTCTCTCACCTGCGTCACTCAGTGCCCTCTCAGTCACTCTCCGGGGGGTAAACAGGATCATTTCTGATTAAAGATGGCCTCACTGTGACCTTTTTCACTTCACTTCATAAAATCTATTGAGGATACATTGTTTTAACCACAGTGGGTTGAAGCAGGGGTTCACATCGCAACTAATTGTCATCACACAAATATTGTCAACATGTTGTATCTGCTTCTTTCGAGTGAATTATCTTGATTAACTATAAATGGTCACATTTTGGTTACACATTTTCACACAGATGCCACTGACCTCAAGTGACAATGATGTTACACAACAGGTGTTTCTGTTTTTCTCCTCAGTTGGTTTGCCTGGCGTTGGATATAGTGTTAAATAACACATTTAAACCATACTTAGTCGGTGCTGTAATTAATTTTTTTTTAACAATTCATGTGTTTTTTAAATTTTTTTAATTTATTGGTTAATCATTTGGTCTATAAAAGTTAAAAATTGAAAAAAAAAAAAATGACCATCGCATCATGTTTTCCTACCCGATACTCAACTTACAGCGATATAAAACAGAGGAAATAAAAAGTATACAAGAAGCTTGTTTGGCATTTTCTGTTTCACAAATAAAAATGATTCATTGACAATCAAAATTTGTGGGTGACTCATTTTGTCTATACATTTTCTGTGTTTCTATTGACTGACTGGTTAAGTGACAAATCATCACTCATACACTGATCTCAGTGCACAAGGTTATTTATTAGTCTTAAGTCTGTCCTGAACATTAAAACACCTCTTACCATATACAGTGAACAGGAGCGACACTGCAACAGACCCTTCAGAACCACATACAGTGAACAGCAGTGACACTTCAGAACCGTATACAGTGAACAGGAGCGACACTGCAACAGACCCTTCAGAACCGTATACAGTGAACAGCAGTGACACTTCAGAACCATATACAGTGAACAGGAGCGACACTGCAACAGACACTTCAGAACAGTATACAGTGAACAGGAGCGACACTGCAACAGACACTTCAGAACCGTATACAGTGAACAGGAGCGACACTGCAACAGACACTTCAGAACCGTATACAGTGAACAGTAGTCTGCACAACAAACAGTTTTCCAAATAAACCCCGACGTATACAAAACAGTGGCACCAGCAGCCAAAATAAAATCAGTTGGCACAGTGGCCTATTCGATTTTGAATAACTTACCCTTTGATGATTGCATTACTTGAATAGGAAGCCCATCCCCCTGTCCTTTTGGATGAAGTGGTTAATGGCATCATCCATCAGCAATTCCTTCTTCATGGAAATTAAGGCCAAGTCTGACAGTTGGGCCTGCCCAGATGTGTTCCCAGAGAATGACCTCCACAGCGGCAGTGTCAAACTTCTCTCTCTTCTTTTCAGTTGTTCCGTGTAGCTCATCTTGTGTAGCTCCAAACCTTGGTTTTGGAGAATTCCAAAGACAACATCTGAGTACAAGAAGATGGCCTGGAAGGTTTTCAACCAAAAACAGAAGTTGAAGCTGGCAAGGAGGGTGATGTATCCATCGGCGCAATGAACAGTGTCATCATCAAACTCTGGGTGTGGTGTTCTACGGTCTGCTCGATCGCCGAGGAGAGTGTCATGGCTTTTATTATATGGAAACAATTTATAGACCTCCCATGAACAGATTATATACCTTATTATGTTATTTAATATTAACAAGTTCATTAGTTCTTTACATGTTTTATGAGTGGGTATTCCCTCATACTATCACATGTATTTATAATTATTATTTTTAGGTTTGAATCACTTCAAAAGTTCATTCATAACGCTGAATTTCTTTTTGCATGTCTATTCATTGTGTTTGTGCTTTTGATTGGGCTACACTAATATTATTGGTATTATTCTGTTTGTGTAATTAGATTCCAGTGATGGCTGCCATGATGCCATGAAAAAACAACATTTTGATTATGGTCAAAAAACAGTTTGCGTTCCTGCTTGACGAACACAAAGGGAGGCACGCACCTGTGTCAGTGAGACGGTCAGGCAGGGCCCACTCTCTGCACAAAAATACAAAATAAAATACAAAAAATACAATTAGAACTGATAACTTTTTTAATATCTTTTATTAATTTATTTGTAGGCCTTCTTTGACCAGTTCCCCTCTGGTGCTGAATATGTATCCTATGCGGTATAAACTGTGTTAGCGAACATTTGCTGACATCATAGCAAGCCAGCATGGAGTTACAATGTTCTGGGATTAAAGTGTCCGTCTATATGTCTCCCCATGAGTGAAGGATTATATTATGTGTCCGTTCCACATTTCACACTGTGATCATCTAAAAATAAAAATTTCTATTGTACAGTCCTGTTGTTCTTGTCTTGAATATTAAAAGCATAAACTTTATATGTGTATTATATACACATTAAGAAGTGCAGATACTGGAGTAGAAACACCTGATTTTCGTGTAAAGGTGTGTGACTATCCAGCAGTTGCCTGTTGCACTTCTTTACAACCTCAGTACCTTTTATGAGCGGATACCAATGGAAGGAACACAGGGGAACCAGAAGTGAACATAAACTTGAGTGATGCTTTTAGAGGCAGATATGCACTGCCTATAGGGGGTCCCTGTCCTGTCCTCTTCTTTATGGCACACAAAACAAAGAGAGGAAAGAAAGTGAAAGTGTGAAGAACCTACCACCATCTCTTATGATAAGAGGCAGGTATTGTGCCCCCTAACTGTTGCAGTATTGAAACTGAGTAAAGAAGATCTTTTGTTTCCTATTACACAGATCTTTCAGTATACAGACACTTTGTAACTGTCCATCCCCACTCGCTTGCAGAGAGAGGAATCAAAGTAGACCTCAGGTGAAAGGTATAGTGACACATGAATGAAATTTACGATAGTGTAATCTGTCCCAATCCTGACCCACGCATTTCTGTTACTGAGGAGAACTCCCCCATTTAGAATAAAAATAAGCGATTCTATGTTTGTTCTGCACAGTCATGCACCGCTCACGCGTTAGACAGATATGGTATGTGGGGGTTAAATACCACTAAAGTGTTGCTTGATTTGTTACCCTTAAACCTCTAACCCTCAGCTGGCTCCCATCTAGGCCTTGATCCTTCCACGAGGAGGCCAGTGGGTCACCGCGGGGTCGCCAGGCGGCCATGGCTTCCTCTGACAGGCCCCCCCCCCTGGTCCATGTGGTACAAAACAACTGTCCCCATGTGTCCAGTTAAACTCGGGCCTATTGCCTGGCCATGGAATGCTTAGACATCATTTTATGGCTCCTGTTGGACACAAAAACAGAGCTATTTTACTCAGGGAGGGAAAATTCTCCATTGAGTAAGAACTGAAAAAAAAAATGGAAAACAGCAGATTCAGTTCCTCTCAAGTTTCAAGCCTTCCTGCCATTGTTTTCCAAGATGGCTGTCGCACAAAAGAGGAGCCAGGGTCAACTCCAATAAATTAGGTTCTGCACACAATGCGCACTAAATACAGCTTCTTTTTTTTCTTTTTTAGATCTACTTCAAAGGCGAGGGCCGACATCGGCGTCAGCTGACAGTATTTTCATGATGTGGGTATAAATATAGAAAAAAAAACTTCCATCTGATCATTTTTTAAGAGCCAGACATCTTTATTTTGTGTTTTCCTTGCCCTCGTCTCCCATCTCTTTTTAGATTCATTGTTCTTGTCACAACAATGGGGCACTCGAGTGCTCTCCAAATAAGGCAAGTTTGGAGAGCTCGTTTCCTGGGGACAGGAACACCAGTGATCCTCAAGAGGCATCCAGTAACAACAAGACTCAATGTACAGTATTTCCTCATTGTAGAAATGAGTATTATGATAATACATTTTGTGTGAAGGAGAAAAAATGGAAGACGTACTATAAATAATGTGATTCCTGTTACAATATTTCCAAGAAACTACATGCAGAACTATTTAGTTACACATTTTATTCCGTTTTGTACTATTGGTTACACTTCTTAAATCTGTGAGTCCCATGTGTCAGATTAGTTGTATGCAGTTCACAGCATTCACTCTGTCTGAGCCTGCAGGCTGTTGGAAGTCCACCATCCACTCAGATGTACGTCTTGGCCCAATCTCTTCCCGATCCTGCTGTTTTATGCCTCTTCAGCCAAGCTGCTAGATAGACCACTGAGACACGGAGTGAGAAAGCAGTACAGAACCAGAGACAGACTGAAGGGTAGGTTCTATCCCTCCAGCAGACCACCAAACGGACTTCCACCACGCTCCTGTGTTATTTATGTGGAGAGCTCTGGCCTGTTTCTGCCCCAGGCAGCATGGTGCTTTTAGTAGGGATCCTCTCAGCCTCCCTCAGCCAGCGAGACATCACAGGGTGGAAAGAAATAAAAGTTCTCCTGGAAGAGTCAGGGCAGCCAGTTTGAAAAAAAAAAAAAAAAAAAAAGTTATTTAAGAGGGCTTGAATAACAGCACTGGGGGGGAAAAAGCAGCCACTCTGCCCTGAGCTGATATATGAAGAGATTTCATTTTTATTTTTAGGAAACTCTGGCTGCTAATCAGAGGCTGTTATTTAACAACAACAATGGATCATGAGAAAAATGTTCTGGGGTATTTAAAATGGCAAAGCAGTGGATGTTTGATTGACAGGATGGAGGGCAGATGGTATGTTTGAGGGAAACTGAACAACTATGACACATTAATCTACTCAGAGGGGTGGGGGTGTGGGGGGTGGGGGGACATGTTTAGCATGACTCACTGGTAGTGCAGGACAAGCAGAGACACGGCCGAGAGCTTCAAAAAAACTAAAACTAAATTCAGAGCTCTGAACACCCTGCAAAAAAATCACTCCTGACAATGATGTGACATGGGATCACATGCACCCATGGGCCTGGCCATTGAAATATTCCATTTCTGACAGGCAAAAGTGAGCAACTCAAGTCCCTTTCGGTTAAAAGGAACAGCTTGGCAGTTGAAACCTATTTATCTTTGATGGTGTACCATGACAAACAGAGAGGTGTTGACTGGGCATCTTGCTAATTGAGGTATTCCATTTAGAGCCAAGCTCCCATTTGTAAAAACAGCGGTGCTCGTCGTGTAACCCACGCCTTCAAATAAATCCAGGAAGCATATTTGGAGTTCCTTCCAGCGAGACATGATACACCATGTGTCTGTGGCCATCGCTGAGGCCTCTTACTGTCCTGAGTTTAGCTAAGATGTCATCCATCAGCCACATTTTACAGTGTCTATTTATGCTTGTCAGCTTTTATTCGTACCCATTGTTTTAACATGTACTATCATGGATGAAAAGGAGGAGGGGGATATCTCAGAGGAGCTTGGGGAGTTTGGAGGGAAAAAAGGGTCTGTCGGTGAAATGGAGCGAGCGTACGTTTTTTTGGTTGGAACCACAGGGATGACAGCCTGCATGGAGGCTGCCTGCCCTGGCATCGGCCACCTGAAAGGTCAGCCCC